TGGAGGGGGACGTTCAGAGCAGAGAGGAATCCCGGGGAGGCATCTTGGCAGAGGGAGGTAGGGGGCTAGAGAGGGATCCCAGTTGTAGGACATACGGGAAGGGCTCAGGAAGGGACCCAGCTGCAGGGCTGGGGTGGGGGACGGATGCTGGCCGCAGGGTCAGGCTCTGACCTTCTTGTCCGAACGCTCCAGGATGTTCCTGGTCTTCTCCTTGTCCTTGCGCTTGACCCGTTCGGCGAAGGCATCGCGCTCCTCCAGGTCCTGCAGACGCTCTCGCTCGCTGCGGTCCCATTCGTCCTCTGAGTCCTTCCCCTCCGAGGACGGCTCCCTGCACCCGGGGAAGGGTGAGAGACCACAGTCAGGGCATTAGCCAGCTCCAGGGACCCCCAGTGCGGGGACTGTCCCCCCGCTCCACCCCCTGGGATCCCGTGGAGGCTACACTCACGGCTCCCGCTCCGCTTCGTTCTCTTCCTCCGACGCCTCCTCCTGCTTCCGGCGCAGGTGTTTGCGCCGCTTTTTGTGCTTCCTCTGCTCGGGCCGGCGCTTGGAGCCCGGGGCAGCCCCCGCATCCCCCTCCTCCTCCTCGCTGTCCTCCAGCAGCTGGTACGAGCGGTTCTTCTGCTGCATGGCCAGGGCCTCCCGCTCGGCCACCCGGGCTGGACGCTCCTGGGGGGCCGAACGTGGGATCTGGGAGTCGGGGGAAAGATAGGGATTAGAAACACCGCACAGCCAGCGCGCCCTCCCTGACCCCCAGCCTCCTCCATAAAGCTCCTCCCGTTAGTGCACAGGTCCCTCCCCTGCAGCTAGCTCCTCCCCCTTCACAAAGGCTCCTCCCACTTTCACCCCTTCCCTGATAATCCTTCCCCTCCTCACATGGTCCTCACCCCGGTAACCCCTCCCCACATGGTCCTCACCCCGGTAACCCCTCCCCACATGGTCCTCACCCTCCCTCCACTTCCACACCGAGGCCTCACTCCTACAGCTAACCCCACCCCATCTTTCCACAAGCCCCGCCCACTAAGCTCACAGGACACTCCCCCTTGGCTTCTCCCTCATGCCCTCTGCTCCTGCTCTCTTTGTTCACAGGCCCTTCCCCTTCAGCCCCACTAACCCCACTCCCTCCCCTAGGAACTCCACATGTGTCCCTCCTCTCCCCAGTCCCTTTAGCCCCTTGCCTGAGGCCCCCTTCAACTCCAGTTAGCCCCTCCAGCGTGACCCTCCCCTCAACCCCACTGGCCCCTCCCCCTCCAATGTGACACTCTCCCCTCAGTCCCACCCCACTCAGCCCCTCCCCCTCCATTGTGGCCCCTCCCCCTCCAACCTACTAGCCCCTCCCCTCCATTGTGACCCCTCCCCTCAGCTCCACTAGCCCCTCCTACTTCGGTTGGACCCCTCCAATGTGGTCCCGCCCCTCCGTCCCCACTAGCCCCGCCTACCTGTTCCCAGAGGCGCTGGGCGAAGGCGCGCACGGCCGGCTCGCTCACGCGCAGAGTCTCCGTCTCCTCCAGGCGATTCAGCAGCTCGTCGGGGCTGCGGCTGCGCCGGGCCAGGCCGAGCAGGAACCCGACCACGTGCCGCTCGCTCAGCCCCAGCAGCGCGTGCAGCTCCCCCGACACCCACCGCTCCAGCGCCGCCATCCTCCGCCCGCCCGGGCCACCGTACCTCCCGCTGGCCGCTTCCGGGCAACGTGACCCCACCGGACCAACCACTTCCGGGGCGAAGGGGGGGCTGTACAGTGCGCCAGCGCTGAGCCGGAATGAGGCAACTGCGCTCCGCCCTTTACCGTAATGAGCGGTATATGGACGGCAGATCTCTAAACCCAAGTCCCGCCGCTACCGTAATGAACAGAATAGCAACCGCAAGCAAAGAGCTCTGGTCGTAATTACAGGAACATGAGCCTCTTCTTTTGCGGCCGATTCCTTACAGTAATGACGGAAATATGAGTTGCTTCTTCTCAGGCGGACTCCTGAGATTCCTGTAATTACAGGAATACCAATTGCTCATTCTCCAGCTGGTTTCGCTACCGTAATTACAGGGATATAAGCCACCAGGCTCCCTACCGTAATCACACGGTGTGAGATGCACCCCGCCACCTGTCTGTTTACTGTAATTACAGGAGCTTGTGCCCCACCCCCATTTTCACCTTGTACTGTCATTATGGATATATGCACCCCACCCCAGGGTTGGGCATTTTACTGTAATTATCATACCAACTGCAGCCACGAGCACAGCCCAGTTTGGGTCCTCATAGTAATTTGGTGGGGAGGCACCGCATGGAGAATCCAGGTCTTTACCGTAAGTGCAGGTATATGAGTCACAAACCCAAGTTAGGAATGTACTATAATTAGCGATCTATGATCCACAGGTGCAATTTTGGTCTGCACTGTAATTACTGTAATATAAACTGCAGCACCAATTCGGGTCTGTACCATAATTAACAATGTATGGGCTCTAGCATGGATCTGTACCATAATTAACAAAGGATAGGTTACATCCAGAATGGGGTTTGCACCAGGGTACATGCCACAGCACCAAGGGCCAGTACTGTAGTGGTCAATGTATGGTCCCTGCTTTGAGTCAATCCTCTACCATAATTACTAATTTATGAGCCTCAGCTCCTATTGGGACCTGTACCATAATAATTCGGGTGCAGGCTGCACCCTCAACTTGGCTCTTCACTATAATCACCAGCTTATGAGCCACAACTCCAGTCTATGGTCTGTACCATATAACCTGTATAAGAGCAGCAGCCCTGGTTCTGTTCTGAATCTTAATTGTTATATGAGCTGCAGCTGTACTCAAGCCCTCACCGTAATTATAACTATAGACGTGTCGCCTCTCATTAAGGTCTTTACCCCAACCGATTACCCTTGCAGTAGCCAACATTATTACAATTATGAGCTGCTGCCCTAATTTGGTTCCTTACTGTAACTAGATGTGTATCCACCACATTCAGCTCGTTAACCATAATTAACTGAGTATGAGTCAGCTTCCTGCTTCCCTCCTTTGAGCTGGTTCCTCAGTTGACATTGTACTGTATTTACTAGCGTATGAGTCAACTTCCTGACTAGGCTTTTTACCATATATACAGACAAATCAGCTCCCTATCTGATTCTTTCTTATTTCTGGCCATGAGTCAACCCTATTTGTAGGCCTGTTAGTCACATTCTTCACTAGGCACTTTACCATGTTTCCAGGCATACGATGTGTCTCCCTAACTGGCTCCGTACCATATTTAACAGTGTGTGAGTTGCCTTCCAAAGTAGGATCTTCAGTTTTTACAGACCTGGCTCTTATCTATATTTCCAGGCATATGAGTTGACTTCCCACATATTATTTCATTGTCTCCAGCTTAACTCCGGCAATCAGCAAAGACTCATTCTCATCATAGGCCCGTCTCAGTGCTGTTCTTTGATGGGTCGCTACAGAGGCGGCTGAGGGGTTGACCGGCCTTGTAGGATTTGATCTTTGCAACGCTAGCAGGGATTTCAACGATGGGGCTGCAGCAATCCAGTGCACAGCTCTGACTGCTGGGAGACATGGAATGGGAGGCAGAGCAGCACCCACACCACTAGGGGGCGTGGGGGGTACATTGTCTTCCACAGTGCAGTGACTGCTGGGGGTGAGCAGGCGAGACAAGAGCGGGGGCTCCTGCATCGTCAATGCCTCACCAGTAGAGGGAGCGAGATGGGGAATGGGAGTTAGGGTGCCCACAGAGCAGAGCTGTGACCACCAGGGGGCGCAGAGGATCTGACCGTGCCAACCCTCATCCCCAAGGGGTGCATGGGAAGTCCTGGCAGCGCCCACACCTCACTCCCAGGGGGCACATGGGAGCCAGGTCCTGGCAGCACCCACCCTCACCTCCAGGGAGCACATGGGAGCCAGGTCCTGGCAGCACCCACTCCTCACCCCCAGGGGGCCCATGGGAGCCAGGTCCTGGCAGCACCCACACCTCACTCCCAGGGGGCACGTGGGAGCCAAGTCCTGGCAGCACCTACCCATCCCAGACCGCGTGGGCCATAGATGACAGGAGGGCGGCTTCACGTGCAACATCTTTCTGTTTTATTATTATAATATATATAAAAAAACACTATTGGAACTGGCCGGATGCGGCCCCCTCCCCCTGCCAGTGCTCAGATGCAGTATCAGTGCCTCCTGCACAGAGCAGGATGGGAGTTAAATGGGGGGAGGGGGGGGCTGATGCCTCGTTTAGCCCCACTCCCCTGTGACCACACATCTGCCCCTGCTCCCTGGGTGGGGGGAGGAGCCTGCCACACTTGTTCATTCGCTCGCACCCTCGTTCCCGGGCGAGGATGCGGCTGCTCCCCCCAGTGCAAAGGAAAACGAATTAATAATAACAAGAACGAACTAAACTCACAGAGGAGGGGCTCATTCATCCATCCATCCCCCCCACACTCATCCCATTCCTCATTCCCTCCATCCTCATTCTTGTCCCCACACATCCAATTCCACTGTCCCTCCATTCTCACTCCTGCCCATCAGAGGCTCTGAATGACACGACCTCCCTCCCACCCATGAAAGGTGGTGAAATTGCTCCACCTACACAGGAAGTGGGACGGCTAAAACAGGAAGTCACACCGTAGGCCCACCCTCCGCTTCAGTCACCTCCTCCCCCCCACCTCCAGTCACAGCTGGTCCCTCCCCAATTCCTGGTTGGCTCCACCTCCCACCCCCAAACCACATACTGCCCCACTCCTCCCCAAACACAACTAGTCCTGCCTGAAGTACATAAACACGGCCCCATCTGTAACTAGCTCCAGAACACTTGCAAATGGCCCACCCACCCCTGCAAAGTAGCAATTTGCCCCACTCTCCAAATACTGACTGGCTCCACCTCAATCTCAACTGGCTCCACCCCAGTCACAGATTGCCCCGCCCTCCGATAGTGATCCAGTCCTCTGCAATTATGACTGGACCCTATCAAGTAACAAAGTGACCCCTCCCCTCCCCAATAAACCCCACCCCCACCCCTCCTAAACTACAATCCCCTTAACTCTGACCACCCCGGCAGCATTATTAGGAAGTAAAAATTGGGAAACAAAAGTTCTCCCTTCTGGATGATGTCCCCTAGAAAAAGGATTCAAGAGTTACAAAAAATGCATGTGTGTATGGTGGGGGGTTGGTTTTCTTTGCCACCCCCCACCCATACCCATCTTCAGGAGGGGATGTGATCTTTAACCTTTGGCTGAAGGTAGGCCAGGTGACCTCTCGGTGGCAATAAAGTCCATGGGGTTTAGAGCGCCCCTCGCTGGCTGCAGTGAGAATGGGCTTTCCCAGCACAGTCCACATGGTTCAGAGAGCCGCCTCCCCCCCCCCGCTGGCTGCAGTGAGAATGGGCTCTCCCAGCACAGTCCACGTGATGCAGAGCGCCCCCAGTGGAAATGGGCTCTCCCAGCACAGTCTGGGTGGTGCAGAGTGCCCCCTGCTGGCTGCAGTGGGTTTGTTCCTGAAGGCTCTCTCGATGCTGTTTTTCTGTTGGTCTCATCCCCCCTGCTGGACCTTAGGGGAGCAGTCAAACGGGAGGGTGGCTGCTCTGGCCTAGCCACAGCCAGGGGGACTGGAGCCAACCTCCCTCCAGTCCTTGTTCTTGCTGGGATTTTACTGGAAGACGAAAGAGAAGGGGCCAGTCGGGACCCAGTCGTGGCAGGGCACCTTCTGTACCCGCCCGGTCCCCCCACCATGAGGGGGGGTTCTGCGGGGTTACCGCCTGCAGGATTCATCTGCCAGAAGAGAGAGAAGGGGAAATGAGTAGGGAACGGGAGAGGGGGCAACCTAGCAGGGACAGACAGGGGAACAGAACCCAGCAGTCCCTGCTCTAACCCACTAGACCCCTCCCTCCCAGAGCTGGGAGTTGTAAGCATAGCAGCCGTGCCTGATGGATGTTGGAGGAGAGGGAGGGGCATGTGCCTGGCCTTCCTGGGGGAGGGGGGGACAGTGGGGGCTGGGGTAGGGAGCAGTTGGCAAGAGCCGTCTGAATTGGAAAGGGCAGGATGCATCTGTGCCAGGGCTTGCTGGAGGCCAGTGGGCCGACACCCTTGAGCTTCCCCCATCTGGCCACTAGATGGAGCCCCAATGCCCATGGCTAGCAAAGCAAGAGGTTTTCCCAGGGGTGGGGAACCGGCAGCAGCTGTTTCATAAGCATTTTCCCAGCATGTTTCATCACCCAAGCCGCTCCCTGCCGCACAGCGCCCCCTAGTGCCGTGCTGGGGCATTGGGGCCAGCACTGACTGCCAGGGGAGAGCGCCCCCAACTGAGCCGCTAACCCCGCTCCCTGCCACACAGCGCCCCCTAGTGCTCGCTGAGACTCACCCACGATGAGGGATTTGGTCCTGAGCACACCCGGCAGGCCGCGATGGAGAAGCAGCAGCTCCTCCTCTTCCTCGTCGTCCTCCCCGTGGGGGTTGGCACAGGCCGGCGCGTCCGACTCCTCGGGGGGCCCAAACTCCTCCAGCAGGGACCCCTCGGATGGGTACTGGAAGGTGCGCTCCAGCTGGCTCTCGCTGAACGAGATCTTCAACTGCAGGGGAAGGGGGAGAAGGATCAGACTAATGGGCCCATCTAGCCCGGTATCCTGCCTCTGCCCCTACCACACTGGATTAGCTTTATGTCCCCCACCCCCTGTTTAAGTGTGACTCTACAGTAACTTATCAGTGCCCACGGTCTTAGACCCTGCACCAGTGGGTGAGTCCATAGCACAAAGAGACCCTACAATAACAAACCAGTGGATGGCTCCCCAGTGCACCTGAGAGACCCTAAAATAATGACTAGTGTGCTGGGTCCCAGCGCCCACTCAAAGACTCTTCAGTAACCCCTGTGCCTATCCCCAGGGCTGAAAGACCCTACAATAACAAACCGTGGCACACAGCCCTACAGCTGGGACTCTACAATGTCAAACCACTGTCTGCACCCCCAGTGCTGACCTGAGACCTTACAATAACAAAACAGTGTGTGCATCTTCCATACCAAAAGACCGTATAATAACAAACGACACACAGCCTGAACTCTGACAAGAGACCCTATAACAACACTGCATGCCGATTCCCACTGCTGACTCGACGCCTTTCAATAAAAAATCTGTGTTCATATCCCCAGTGCTAAAAGACCCTACAATAATAAACCACCACACACAGTCTTAGCAACTACAAGAGACCCTAAAATAACAAACCAGCGTGCACATGTCCCCACTGCCAAGTGACCCCACAATAACAAACCACAGCACACAGTCCAGGTAATGCCAAGAGACCCTACAATAACAAACCACAGCATGCAGTCCAAGTAACGTCAAGAGACTCTACAATAACAAAGCACAGCACGCAGCCCAGGCAAGTAATGTCAAGAAGCCCTACAATAACAAACCACAGCACGCAGTCCAAATAATGCCAAGAGACCCTATAATAACAGACCTCCCAGGCAACGGCTCTCTGGGGACCCTCTGAGGACAGTGTGGTCATGGCAGTCCCACTTTGGCTAAGCCTCTGGTGGAGGGCAGCCAGGAAGCTGCCCCGCCCGCACCCCAGCTGGGCACAGAGCCCTGGCAGGAGATAAACCCTGCAGGAAATGAGATTAGACGTCCCTCCTGCAGAGAAAGACGATTCCCCAAGGGCAAGAGCATCTACCTTGACCTGCAGCTAGGCTGGGCCACAAATAGTGCAGAGGATGGAGCAGGGAGGGGCCAGGCAGAGATGGGAGGGGTAGCCCTGCATACAGCACTGGGATGCAGCCACCTCTGGGGTGGGGCAGCGGGGGAACAGCCGCACAGCGGCGCCACACAGCGGCATACAGTGGGAGGCTAAGAGTAATCCTGTGTCCAATTGTGTGTAACCACGGGGCAGGGGCAGGGGGATTTCAGGAAGGCAGAATGGACGTGGGCTGGGGGGGGGATCTGGCCAGGACACCGGGGTTCACGCCCCAACTCGGAAGGAAAGTGCCAGGGGAGATTTAATGACTGGGCCTGGTCAGGACTTCAATTTTCTATGCAATCCAAAAGTGGCTGCCCTCGGGTATTGGGGTGAGAGCACCAGCAACAGTGCCACCTACCAAGCCCCCATCCTGCTCCTTGCAGGACAGCGCCCCTAGTGCTGCACTGGGGTATTGGGGTCAGCACCGACTGCAACAGGAGAGCGCCACCTACTGAGCCCCCATCCTGCTCCCTGCAGGACAGCGCCC